AGTAAGGACAGAGTCCAAGAGCATTTATTAGAACACTCTTAAAATGAACTGCAATGTCCCCATTTAAAATGCCCCCCGCGTTGGCAAGGTAAGAAAACGTCCTTACCTGGCCAGACGCGGGGTTCCCGAGAGCCAAGACCGGGGAAGCATCGGAAAAGTCGCCGACACACGTCCTATCTCTTTCGCGGTCACCCGGACGAGTCCCTTTCCCGAAAGCGGGAAAACAAGAGGCGAAACCTCCTCGCCTGTCGGCAGTGATTCGCATCCGAGCGGGGGGACAGAAAGAGGTCCCCCCGGGAGAGAGTGAGAGGAGAGCCCCCCAAGCCAGGCGGCCCTCCGCCTCACGAACAGGTCGGAGCTCACGGCGAAGAAGACCGAGCGTTCCGACCCGCGGCCGTTATCACAGCCATCGGGGAAGGGAGACCAGAGGAATCCCCACAATATATATATATATATATATATTTGTGTGTGCAGGTCATCCCAGTGAACGAGCGAACTCTTCATATGCTGTTCTGCTCATTACCGGATTGCAGCCCCGCATAGATAAAATTCGTCTTGGGCATATGAGATACATAATATTGTGTAAGCGGTGAGAATATTTTCGAAAATATCTGTTAATAAATTCAATAATCAAACTTTAAAGCATTTTAGTGATATTATGGTGACATTAGAAACGCTTCTTTTGGAATATTCATCTTGTTCAAAAAGGGGCTAGCCTTGTTCATTGCATTTTCCTAACAATATAGCTTCTCACTATATTCTAGTCTACAAAAATGACAGTAATTAGCGATGAAATAACCAATGTTAAAACATACGTTTAAACAGATGAGCCTGAGTTTATAGCTCTAGCGGCACGTTGTCTTTCGATGGAGTTGCGTTACCACTGATATGTCCTGAGTCGTAACATCAGGTATAGAAATTTATTGTATTTTTAGCGAGTAAATCGCATATCTTAATGCATTCACTTAAATGCTGATACATTTGAGGAAACATTGCTTGATTTTTAGCTAGGTCGATAATATATTCTTGTAAAGACAGGTTTACTAAGTTGAGTTTATGGCGACCACACTGTTTCGCGCCCCTTTTCTATACAAGATTACTAGATTGAACTGCGTAGGTTGATTTTAGCCTAGCGATACAGGTACGTGTGAGTCGTGCCGTGTCTGGTCGCGATCTGGTGGAGAGAGGGTCCGCGCGCGGTAGCGGCGGGCAGAGTCCAGGGTCACCCGGCGGCTGTGGCGATGATGATGACGGCGGTGGCGATGATGATGATATCACGACACCTCCCCCACTTTGGAAGAACAACACTCACACTTCCCCAAAGCGGACAGGTGGACGGCTTATACGTCCACTCCTTGCCACGGTAGGTGCCACGGCCAGTTGCAGGTGTCCTCTTGTTCACCGTATAGTGCCGGTCGTCGTCTGCACCACGTAGGACGGGGTTGAGGCGCTGGTCCTAGAATGTGGCCGTAAGACGCTGCTCCCGTCAGGATTCTGACCGCAGTTCCTGTTGGAAGGGTGTCGAGCTCACGTGTTCTGCGGCGCTCGCCATAGTGCTGGTGCATCTTTTCCTTGTATAATGCGTTTCTGGACCGAAAGTCCGTGGTGCCCCATCGAGGTTGGAGAGATTCTGGTTTTACTGGACGTTTGTGCGCAGTCTTTGTCCCACGAATAACTCCGCTGGCTCGTAACCTTCGATTCCCGGGGTTGCACGCTGGGCCAACAGTGCGTTGTGGATGTCTGTCGATTTCCCAAGGAGTTGCTTAGCCGTTTGGACTGTCCTCTCGGCCTCCCCGTTGCTCTGCGGGCCTCCCCGTTGCTCTGCGACGTTGATTGGGTCACTTCCCATTCCTTCAGAAACACTGCGAATTCGCGTGAGGCGAATTGCGGTCCGTTGTCTGTTCGGAGAATTTTCGGTGCTCCATACCGTGCGAACATTTGGTCAAGGACGGCGATGATGTCCCTGGTCGTCGTCCGCCTCAGAGGTTCCAGCTCGAAGACTCTTGAATAGTAATCGACAGCAATCAAGTAGTTACTGCCTTCGTGGACGAAAAGGTCCATGCCGACGACTTCCCATGGGTAGTTTGCCAGTGGAGTCACCAAAAACGGAGGTTGACCTGGTTTCCGGTGTTCTTGACAAACAGGGCACTTTTGGATGACGCTGTCGATGTGGAGCCCAATGCCTGGCCACCAGACTGATTCTCGTGCTCTGGCGCGGCATTTGGACACACCCTGGTGACCTGTGTGAAGCTTCTCCAGGATTTCGAAGCGTAGGGCTTCCGGTATGACGAGCCGATTGCCCTTGAACAACAGTCCGTCTAGTACGGCTAGTTCTCCGGCGACTTCGTAGAATTGGCGGACTCCTTGAGGAAGCGTCATTTTATCCGGCCATGTCCGGAGGGTGTACTCGATTACCCTCTTCGTTACCGGGTCTGTCTGTAGCTCGTTCTTGATGCGATCGAGCATTTCTTGGGAGACTGGAAGCTGTTCGAGCGTGAGGAGCTCGTACTCTTTGGTGTTGAGGTCCCTTGTACGAGAGGCTGTGTCGGGTAAAGGTTTGCGTGAGAGCACGTCGGCTGTGTACATCGCTTTTCCCGGAACGTGACCAATGGTGTAGTCGTACTGGAACAGGCGCATTCGGAATCGCTGCAGTCGTGGGCTCAGCTCGTCGAGTCGCTTTGTTGTCATGAGGGGAACCAACGGTTTGTGGTCTGTCTCGATGTGGAACTGCAGTCTTAAGATGTACATGCGGAAGTGATCACATGCCCATGTGATTGCGAGCGCTTTTTTCTCGATTTGAGCGTAGCGTTGCTTCGTTTCAGTGAGAGAGCGCGATGCATAGGCAATGGGCAGCCGCTTGCCGTCGGTCTCTTGTAGCAAGACCGCACCAATTCCGTAAGATGATGCGTCCGCTGAGACGATGAGAGGCTCCTTCGGATTGCAGTGCGTCAGGACTGGCGCTTTGGCTAGAGCTTCTTTCACTGCTTCAAAGCTTCGCTGCTGGTCGGGTCCCAGAGCCACGCAGCGTCGGCGCAGAGGAGATCCCACATTGGCTTCGCTGTGTGTGCCAAGTGTGGCAAAAACTTGGCAAGGTGGTTTGCCATTCCCAAGAACGATCCCAGTTCTTTCACATCTGTTGGTGGTGTGATCTGTGTGATCGCTTCGACTTTTTCAGGATCGGGCTTCACACCTTCGCCGGAAACGATGTGGCCTAGGAACTTGACCGTCTGCTGTAGGAAGGCGCACTTGTCAATGTTGAGTGTTATGTTGGCTTTGCTGAGTCGTTCGAAGACTTTAACTAGGTTCGCGTCTTGCTCAGCCCGCGTTTTCCCCCAGACGATTATATCGTGTTGCAGGCAAGCTTGGCTTTCCACTCCCTCAAGAATTCTTAGCATTTCGTGCTGAAAAAACTCTGGTGCGGTCGAGATTCCGAAGGGAAGGCGAAGAAAGTTGAAGCGTCCGAACGGCGTCAGAAATGTCGTGTATTTCTGCGATTCCTCTGCCAGAGGTGCTCGCCAGTATCCAGCTTGAGCGTCGAGTTTGCTGAAGACTGTGCCACCGGAGAGCTTCGCCCGACATTCGTTTACGGTGGGCATGATTACTCACTCTCGGACGAGGTACTTGTTGAGCTCGGTGTAGTCTACGCAAATGCGCAGTTCGCCATTTGCTTTTTCTGCGACGACCATCGGAGCGCACCACCCTGTGGCCTCGGTGACACGCTCTATAACTTGGAGCTTTAGCATCTTGGAAAGCTCATTTTTCACAGGTGGTAGCATCGCCAGTGGCACCCTTCTTGGGAACGTAAGAGCAAAGGGTTTCGCGTCTGGTCGAAGAACCACCTTGTACTCGGCGTTCATCTGTCCAAGCCCTGAAGTCAGTAGAGGGTACTTGGCAAGTAGTTTGGAGACGTCCTTTGTGCGGCTTGTCTCACCAGTGACGTTGAGGAGCTGTGGGAGAACTCCGAGAGATCGGATGGCGGGCCTTCCGAGGAGAGCTTCCTGTAGACCTTCAACTACCTACGAAAACATCCTCTTGAACTTGTTGGGGGCTCGCGCCGCTGCCAGCTGTGCTCAGCTGGCAGCGGTAGGAACGGCCTTTTATCGTTTATCGGCTCCGGCCAACTGCAGTTTATTTGTTACGAAAGTGTGCGGTACGGTACGAGGAACCAGCCGATACCAACATCGCGCAAGTGGTATGTGAATTTTCGCCTCTTTTGGGACTTCGAAAATTCGAGGCGAGCAAGCGTTGCTAGGCCTTAGGCTTAGCGCACGAGTACGGCCACCGGGGCGATCGCCCCCGGTGTTAGGCCTACCCGACGAGTACGAATAAGATGGCGTCGCCACCGACGATGGAGGTGTGCGAGAGCCCGGCAACCAAAGGCCTGCAGGCAACGATAGTCGGCAACGATGAAGGGAAGATGTACGTTCAAGTAGGAGGCCGCGACGCGACACCCGGCGAGTCGAGCGGATGGACTACGACGAGTAGAAGAATGCGCAAGGCCAAGGAGCTGCAAGGTGAGAGACCATCTTTAACCGCGGAACGGCAGTCGAGACCCAAGGAGAGAGTTAACGTTGTCAAGCGAGTTACCGAGAATATCAAGAAAGCAGCCCGTATGCCGGCGGCTATCCCCAGAGACGACCATAAGATCGTGATTAGGCCCAGGGGCGGCCTGAACGTAGCTCGAATCGAGACGCCGGTCGTCACGGACGCCATTATGGCGGCCGCGGGGACGGCGAAAGAATACCAGGGCGAAGACATGGTGTGCATCAATGCGGCGCAGAACATCTTAGTCGTGAGCACGCCGAGCGAGCAGAGAGCCGAAATTTACACTAAGATCAGGACCGTCGAATTCGGCAACATGGAATTTGAGGTTTCCGCCTACCGAACCGCGCCCGAAGGGACGGCGAAGGGAATCATCAGAGGTATTGCAATTGACGACTCGCCCGAAGACATAAATGAGGCGGTCGTGACAAAGTATAACCCAACGGCGCTAGAGGCGCACAGGATTGGAAATTCTACAGCGGTCATCGTCCTCTTTGAAGGACAGAGAGTGCCCCGGTACGTAATATACCGAGCGGCACTGCTCAAGTGCGGGCTTTACAGGAAACATCATGAAGTGTGTAGATGTTGCGGAAAAGTCGGACACCGCATCGACGTATGTCCAACCCCGGAGACCAGAGTATGCTTCGCGTGCGGGGAGGCCAACCCCGACGCGGACCACGAGAAGGCATGCAAGCCAAGTTGCAAGCTATGTGGAGGAGCGCATCCGACGGCAGATAGAATTTGCAAGAACAAGTTCAAGGTCCCCTTCGTCGTCACGAAAAGACAATGGGAGCGCCGAGAGGAACGCGAACAGCAACAGCTCCAGAAGACAAGACCACCAATGACGTCATCGGACTTTCCACAGCTGCCGAGCAGGGAGGAAAGCGAGTGCAGCGAAAGCCAACGGCGCACCGACAGCCGCGAAAGACACAAGAGCCAGCAAAAACACCTGCCGCCGTCGCAGCAGGAAGACGGGAAGCTTAAGTGGTTGGCTGCAGTTAAGGGAAACAAGTCGAAAGAAACGCCCCGCAGCAAGCAGCAGCCACCATGCCAACACCATAACACCGGAGAACCGCCCGTGACAAGGCGAGAAATATACGACATGATCAACGAAAAGAACGAAAGGCTACTACAGAAGATGGAAGAGAAGATGGACGCAAGGATCGACAAACTACTAGAAGCAATAAGGGCGAGTCAAGCGCCACTGTCACTGCCGACCCCGCAACAGGAGCAAGAGGTGGAGCAGATACCCCGCCCATCCTCGAAGAAGAAAACCCCAGCAAAGCCACCTAAGAGGAAGGAGGAACCAGCCATCGCCGAAGAGGAGGCTACCAAAAGCAGCATCGAAAGCGACGAGGAACAGCCAAAGGAGCCCAGCAACAAAAAGAGGATTATCGAGAATACCAAAGAGAGAAAGCTCATGGCCAGGCTCGACCGCATGGACAAAGAGCGGGAACAACTTGCACATTCGATGAAGGAAAAATTCAACAAGGTAGAGATGACGCTGGGAGAAATACAAAGCGGAATGCTACAACTACAAACGCAGATGCAAACGTTCCTGCAGAGTATGGAAGCCAAGATGCAGACATTCGTGCAGAACGCCCAAACCCAGATCACCACCCAAATACAGCAATTATGAACCCAACAGCGAAATCGAACGCCAAGCCAGACAAAAGGGCAGTAACAGACCAGCAGCCGGTAAGGGACCTCCTGATTTGGCAGTGGAATTGTAACGGCTATCACAATAAGAGGGCAACGCTAACACGGCACCTACAGGGAATGGAGAGGAAACCGGACGTCATTATGATTCAGGAAACACTATGCACTGACACACCCCAACTTCAAGGATACAGAGCACACGCCAAGGCGGCCAAGCCCCTAAACAAAAAAAAGAAAAAGTTTGGAATACGCAAACCAACAGGCGGGGTGTGCACATTCGTCCGCAAGGGCATCGTATTCCTCGAGCACGAGCTGACCACCGGCGGCTGGACCGATAGCAGCGCGGTGGAGGTGGTCGTTGGGAAGAAGAAGAGGAAAACCAGCGTGCTCGCGGTCAACGTGTACAGCAGCCCCAGACATAGAAAGCAAAAGTTCCGCACGCTCATGCAAAGGGCACTGCGTGCGACGAAGAAAGGCACGATCGTAATAGGGGGTGACTTTAACGCACCACACTACGACTGGGGATACGATAAGACAACCGAAAAGGGGAGAGACCTATTGCAAGACGCCACGGACGCGGGGCTAACGCTAATCACGAACCCGGAGACCCCCCCAAGAACGGGTACTTCGGTCGCCAGGGACACCACCCCGGACCTGACGTTCGTCGAAATAAATGGGAACGACACCGCAACGTGGAAAAACACCAAACACGACTTCGGCAGCGACCACATGGTCACAGAGATCCGGGTCCCGCTGGGGAACGGTGCAAGCCAAGAGAAACGAACACACAGATACACGAACTGGGAGGAGTTTCGGCGTCAGCTCCCAAGCCAGCATGATAACATTGAAGATATAGAAGCGTGGTCGAAGGCGATAGTAGAAACGACCGAGGAGGTGACGACAGAGATAGAAACGGACGAAGACATACACGAAATGGACAGCAGATTGGCCCACCTCATCGAGGCGAAGACTGCCCTCAAGAGAAGGTAGAACCAACAACGAACAAACAGAAGGCTCCGCAAAAAGATCGCGGAAATCAACAGGGAAATAGAGAAACACAGCAAGGAGCTCGGCCGGCAGCAGTGGGAGCAAACGTGCAGAGAGGCGGACGGCCAACTCCATCTGGGCAAGACGTGGCGACTGCTCCGGCACCTCCTCGACGACACCCAGACCAAGGGAGAACAACAGTACAAGCTCAGCAGAATTATACACAAGGCGGTAGCGGAGCACGGGGAAGCGGAGGTGAAGAGGAGACTCGACGCCAAATACCTCCCGGTTTCCCCAAAGGAAAAGCACCCAGAATACCAGGGGGCAGAGAACATCGAGGTTGACCAAGACATCGAGGAATGGGAGGTCCGAAATGCGATGCAAGACCTGAACAGGCGTTCGGCGTCGGGCCCGGACCGCGTCAGCAACAAAGCGCTCAGAAACTTGAACGACGCGGCCGTGACGGCACTGACGGCGTACTTTAATAAATGCTGGAGGGCCGGCAAGCTACCACGCCAGTGGAAGGAAGCCAAAACCATCCTCATTCCGAAACCAGGCAAGTCGCCCGACATCGAGAATCTACGCCCAATATCCTTAACATCGTGCGTGGGTAAACTGCTAGAGCACATCTTAATGACCAGATGGCAACAGTACCTCGAAGAGGCAGAGCTCTACCCGGATTCTCTCGTCGGCTTTCGAAGCAAGCTTGGAACGCAAGACGCCATGCTCCAACTCAAGAAGGAGATAGTAGACTACGAAACTCACACCAGCGACAGCAGGGCAATACTGGGCCTGGACCTGCAGAGCGCCTTCGACAAAGTCCGGCACTCTGCGATTCTCGCCCAAGTGTCGCACCTGAACATGGGACGGAGATCTTACAATTACATTCGGGATTTCCTGACCGACCGCACGACTCACATCTGCGCCGGGGATCTCGAACTACCAGAGAAAACGCTCGGCAGCGAGGGGACACCACAAGGCGCGGTAATCTCTCCGCTGCTCTTCAACTTGGTCATGATCGAAGTCGCCAACCGGCTGCGGAGCATCGATGGGGTACGCCACACGGTTTATGCCGACGATGTGACGCTGTGGGTTACCGGTGGCAGCGACGGCCACATAGAGAATACACTACAAGAAGCAGTAAAAACGATAGAGGACCAACTGAAGGGATCGGGGCTGGTGTGTTCCCCCGCAAAGTCGGAGCTGATGGTGATTCCACCCAGGGGAGCGAGCCGCAAGAAGCAAACTATCCGAGACTGCGATAAAATCCGCATACGAACGCAAGGGGGACACATCATCCCCGAGGTAGCCAAGATCAGAGTGCTGGGCATGATCATCGAACGCAGCAAAGTCAACGGGGCAACGGTCTCCAAGCTCGAAGCTAAGACCGGCACGGCACTGCGTCTCATACGCCGCGTCGCCAATAGAAGAAGCGGGATGAAGGAAGCAAGGCTCGTCAGACTGATTCAAGCCTTCGTGATGAGCCATATCACCTACGTCGCCGCCTTCCATAATTGGCGGCAGTGCGAGCGGAAGAAGATCGACGCGATGATCCGCAAAGCTTACATATCAGCATTAGGACTCCTAGGATGCACGAGCACGCAGAAGCTCGAAGCCCTGGGACTCCACAATAGCCTGGAAGAGATCGCCTAGGCACAGCAGACGGCGCAGCCCGCCAGACTGTCGGGAACCAGGACCGGCAGATCTATCCTCAAACAACTAGGCATCGGAGCCAAGGAAGACGACCACCGGATGCAGGAGCAGATACCGCGGGAGCTGGGCAAGCACATCGTCGTGAGCCCAATCCCGCGGAACATGACTCCCACATTCCATCAAGAAAGAAGAGAGGCGAGAGCCGAGGCGCTGATCGCGCTACACGCCGGCGATGAGGGAGCCGTGTTCGTGGACGCGGCCAGTTACAAGAACATCGGCGACGCCTTCAGCGTCAGCGTGATCGGAGCCAAAACGGGTGAGATCAGGATGGCGGCCAGCGTGCGGACCACTGTGCCCAGCCAGGCAGAAGAAGTGGCGGTAGCCCTCGCCATCGCGGACCCCAGAACGAAGACGGTGTTGTGCGACTCGCGAACGGCAGTGCGCAACTTTGCGAAACAGCGAGTGTGCAGTGCGGCAGCGCGCATCCTGCGAAAGGCCGAAGTCAACGGAGTCATCACCAGTGCGGTGATAAAGTGGTTTCCCGCCCACGCGGGCGCGGAAGTGGCGGGCTCGCTGGGGCTCACCCACCACAACGAGACGGCCAACTCCGTGGCGCGTGGACTCGCCGGCCGCGCCCCGGTAACGGCCGCCGCCGACGTGGTGGATCGCCCCGAGAAGGACACCATGGACGCTTACAACGAGGTAACCCTGTGGTACCGGTTAGCCAGAAGAACGATGGCCCTGCCCCACCCCCGTCTGACGCGGGAGGAGGCGGTGGTATTCCGCCAGTTACAGACTAACTCCGTGATAACCCCAGTGTTAGCAAAGCACCTGTGGCCGGAGGTATACGTAACAGACTTATGCAGACTGCGGGAAGGAAAGGGCCACGTTGGCCCACATCCTGGAAGACTGCGAATGCGCGAACGCGGACAACAGTGCAGACGTTCTCCCGCCCCTCATGGAGGAGGCGAAGAGATCCGAAGACTACGACGTCCAACACACGGCCGTCCAGCAGATCCTAGCGGCACTCGAGAAGCAGTGACCGGACGGGATGGAAGCAGAAAGGGTTAACCCGAGTACGCTGAAGCCCGCCGCGAGCGGCTCTCCCCGCTAAGAAGACGTCCGGCCACGTCGCCCCAAGAACCCACCTGAGAGGGTGGGATGATAGGGGTTACTGCGGGAGACACATTAAAGTTGCTCTCTCTCTCTCTCTTGAACTTGTTGACCGCCCCATTCTATGGAAGCTTGGAAGTGTCCAGCGGTCGAAAGCTTCTGATAACCAGGACCGAGAAGTGCTCTTTCTGGCTTTCGCAGAGGGCCCATCACTTCGCGATTGTAGTCGCGCGGCGCGATGGCAGTGACGTTGGCGACCGTATCGACCTTGAATGTGATCGAGATGCCGTTCACTGACGGGGTGATTCTCCAAGCGTTATGAGCTGAAGCATCTTTAGGTTCGCCGAGGTACACCTCTTCCACTTCTGCTGTGCGGCGAGCTGGGCGAGCTGCTGTAGTAGTACCTGGTCTCTCTTGATGTTTCGGAGACAGGCAAACAGAAGCGTAGTATACTTGTTTTCCGCACGGCCTGCATAATTGACCGGATGCCGGACAGGTCGCCTTGGTGTGAACCGAAGCACTACCCCACCATCTGCATGGCTGGCGGACACCTTCGTTGCCTTTTTAGACGAGCCGTCGGCGTTGTTTTATTGCTCCAGTTTGTCTTTCTGCGTGCGGAGCTCAGTTCGTCGACGGCGGCGCCGTGTTGACCTTGCGTACCTCGCATTTCTTTGTGTTGTTGCTTCACCGCTTCAGAGTTTCGCGCGGCAGCCACCGCGGTCTCAAAGGTAAGCGCGGAGTCGAGTTGCAGCTTCTCGCTGAGAGCCGTATCGAGGAGGCCTACCACGAGTCGGTCCCGGATGAGCTCGTCTTTCAAGGCGCCATATTGGCATCTCTCTACCAGCTTGAAGAGGTCGGTAACGAAACTTTCGACTGTCTCGTGACTTTCTTGCTTTCGGCGGTTGAATGTAGCGCGTTCGTATATGATGTTTCGCCATGGAATAAAATGCTTTTCAAAGGCATTCTTTACGCAGTCGTAGTCGAGCTTCTGCTCGTCACTGAGCTTGAGAGAGGCCAAAACGTC